CAAACATGAAAATAATGAAATCCCCAACTCCCTCTGTGGGTCCTTGAGTTGTGTAGAATTTCTAGGATCGAGCCAAAAATGCAACAAAAATATGATATGCAATGATGATCTATGTATAACATTTCAAATTGAAAAATTGGGATGTTACATAATTAGGTGAAATTAAATGAATGACCTAAATGAATGAAATTAGTAGTTAACTGAGTTTTTTTCATTTCATCATTATAGAGCACTAAAGTTAACTCAATTTTGTTCTATTAGTACTTAACTATATTTTCTTCTACACTTACTTTTTGATTTAGACGTTAATTAGGGCACTAGGGTTTAGTTTAGAGAAAATAATCCAATATAAAAACATACATTTATATTAGTGCTGCAAGTCTAGTAGGTTCTTAATTTTTACTGATTTTTTACTATGACAAAAATTTAGGACATAATTTTAATTGAGTTCTAGGGTTCATAATTTGAAATTTAGGACATAATTTTAATTGAGTTCTAGGGTTCATAATTTGAAATTTAGGACAGAAGTGAGTTCTAGGGTTCATAATTTTTATTAGGACATATTTTTCTATTAGTTGCTCATGTACAGGTTCATAGGTGGTCCTGTTATATGCAACATTGAAGTGGTTCGATTGTGCCCAAGTGGCCTTTTGTTGTTTACATGGAATGATTTCGAGTGGCCTATGTTTTGTTGGAATGTTGATTGATTTCCGTTTCGGCAAATTTAAGGCGCTCGATTTGTCCACTTCGTAGCAAAGGTCATGCCGAAATTTTCCATGAATTTCGGCATGACTTGTGCTACAAAGTAGGACATATCGAGTCCCCGGTATTTGACGCAATGGGAATGAATCAACATTCCTGCAAAACTATATATTATCAACTCATTTGACGATGCAGGTACATAGATCATCGACGGCAAAGAAGTGCTACGCCATGTACGTAGGGCCCAGGTGCACCGGTTTTTGGGAGACAGCCACAGAGCGTTTGATAGAAGAGCCGAAGTGGAAGATAGTTAATTGAGGTTGATGCTAGCGCGAGAGAGGGATCGGAACCGGCGCCTAAAAAACTACTACATGTCACTTAACTTGTATCGCTATATCGTGATTATGATGAAACGGCATGATTTGTGTTGGATAATACGATGAGACTATTATGTGTATGATATGATGAGAATATTGCATGTTTATGATATGATTAGAATATTGTATAAAACCTATACAAAACACCGAAAATATGTACCTAAAAAAATGTGAAAATATAGCAGCAGTTCTCGTTAGCAGGAAGCAGTAGCACTGCACAGAAGTGGTATAGCTATTTATCAGTAGCACTGGATGGACAAACGCTACTGCTAAGCTACTTAGCAGTAGCACTTTTGTGGACAACGCTCCTGCTAAGTAGGTACAGCAGTAGTGCTGGTCA